CTTTGTGGATTTCTTGACTTTTCTTGACTTTGGCTATGTAGACTTGATGTTCTGTATTAAAATTTGCTATAACTTTGAAGATTTTGGGGAAGATAGGAAGAGAAAACTGGCTGCTCCAAGTGGTTTATTGCTTTTTCTTGTCAAATGCAATTTTTAGTTTCCCATACCATTAAGGAAGGACAGAAGGAAAGACCCCCCCCCCCCCAAAAAAAAAAAAAAAGCACTTTCACACTGGTCTGTTCTTGTCCTACTAAAACAGTTTATGTGGACTAGAAAATAAACCAATAAAAGAATGTTTGCATTTTAACCACAGTGACTATAAATCTTCTTACTAAAGAAATGTGTTACTAAAGAAATTTTAAATTATACAGTTTTTATTGTCATACAATCTAGCTGAAAATTTGGATGCGCTCTACAAAACAATTGGAAATGCAATATAAGATCCTTGGTAACTGTAATGAGAGAGCTCTTTCCAAAGCCACACAGCAGAGTTGGTAGGAAGGATACTTTTGCAATAAAAGTCACAGTTTTGGCCAAGTGCACATTTTCCTAGGGACACTCTGATTTTCCATTAAGCTTTAATTTTTAATATAATTTTTAATTTCTTCATAATAGCAGTTTTGAACAGTAATTTCAACTTTAACTTAGCTTTACAATTAACACACATGAAATATTACCATTCCTCAGAATTTATTATTTGGATATAGTAATACTTTTGATAGATTATTATATTGCTGTGATAGTTATAAGAACATTCAGGCATTGCAGAAGAAATAATTAATACCTTCATTAAATACCTTAGTGTCATACTCAGATGCTATTATGGCACCCGAGGGGAACCTTGTCATGTGCAATCAAGGTGATGAATAATTTGAGCCAACAAATATCCAGGGCTCCCAATTGCCCTGTGGGAAATAATGAGGAATGCTGGACAGGCTTGTGTGAGGAACTTCACATATGATGCATAAACAGATGTTCTTATGAAACCTTGGCTATTAGCCCATCTCTTTTGTAAGAGTGACATTCATTTACAGTATAAATGAACTTCAGAAAGCATAGCTTTCTGAAGTTAACTGTAAGCTCATTTTATGGTATACCCCTACTTTCTCTATGTCAACTCCTGTCCTTTCCAACTCATATTTATTGGGTATTAAGGTTATGTTGGCAAAATTGTACAGGGTATGGCTGGCACTGTTCCAAAGGTATGATGTGGTAAGGTAATTGCTAATTATTACACCAGGCCATGCTGAGACACACCAGAGAACTCTGTTTGTGAGAATCCCGCCAATGTTTAAGCATGAAATATCCCTAACAGTCCTCACTGTTATAACTGTGAAGGTCTTTGACTGTCTCTAACTACCTTTGCTGGTACACCTTTGTCCATGCTTTTTGGCAGGAATGGAAGCATTCCTGTCAAAAATATTGATGTCTCTTAGGACAGGTGAAGTTTTGAAAATCTGAATTATTTCTTACCTGAAGTAGCAGTACAGTTCTAAACAACTCTCATTTGAGATTCTGATTTTGAAATAATATACTCTGCATGAGAGGTAGTAATAAACTTCTTTAAATCCACTGAACACAATCCATTTTGTACAGCGCTTCATGTCTGAGATACATTTTAGATTCCCTAATTCAATTCTCACCATAGTCAGGAGCATTCCCTTTCCCCTTATCTCATTCAACATTTTTAAAGTGTATCCTTTCTCTTCCAGTCTAAGAGGTGATGGCCATTACGTTTTGTTTTGTTTTGTTTCAATGGACTAGTAATGCTCACAACAATGACTAAAAAAAATATCTTGCTGGATCCTGTGAGGGATGTTATAAGTAAACTAAAAGAACTATTGAAGTACCAAAGTAAATATAAGTGTTATGCTTAAACTAAAATTAACTTACTGATCAATATCATCTTCTCAACAGTTCTCTTGAATGGAAATATGTCCAGGTATGAATAAGGAAATGAGGATGATAACCTTTCCCTAAAATGTCAAGTCTGTTTCATAAATCCTTCTTCTTCAGGAAATGTGACCAAGATTACCTCCTTCTAACAGAGGAGAAAAGAATATATCCACAGAAGTTTCCCCCCAGAAGATCTCACAGTACTCTGGCTTTGCTGATTTCTATCCTGCTGTATGACTATTCACATATGTTGCTGCCAGCAAATCTGCTCAGTGAAGTCTTTCCAGTGATTTTCCATACTTACACTCACAGAATGGATACACATGTGCCTGTGAGTTCAAAACACACACCCCTCTGTTTCTGTGGCACCAGGAGGACACCAATTGTCTCCCATTTTTTGGTCCTTTTACCTCATTTCTGCTTCTCCATTTACACTTCCCTGTCTACTTCTGTATGTTAAAAGGCTTTTCTTCTGTCTTATTTCTCCTGAGATCTAGCTTTTCTTTTTCTTTTTTTTTTTCTTTTTTTTTTTTTTGGTGTGTGTGTGTGTGTGTGTTGTGTGTGTGTGTATTCTGTAATTCATTATTTTATTTTTTTTCCAGTTCTCTCTTTTTTTTTTTTTGGTCAAAACATTCATCAAAAAATATTTGTTGTGGCTTTAAAATTTCACTTTATAATTTTCCAATTTTTTGAAATCTGCATTTTTTTTCTATTTCTTTTCCTTTGATTAGCAGCTTCGTTCCTTCCACCTCCAAGCTGCATGTAAGCTGTGAGGGAATTATCATTAATTCTTATGATCCTAGATACTGCTTATTTTGCGTGTTTCTCTACCCACCTACATTTGTTAGGACTTAGAATCAGGAACAGGAATGACCACCAGAAGAAACATTTTTCTTCATTTCATTGATATTTTCCTTAGCTAATCATGAATTTGGCTGGTCTCTTCCAGTGAAAATTAAAATAAATTTCTTTTGAATTAGGTGTTAATCTTTTGGTCACAAAAGTGAAATTAGTCACTACTAGGTCTTGCACTTTAAAGGTTAATTTGAGCCTAGCATTAATATGGATGAACTCCTGGAGCCAGCAGCTTTGAACAATCTTAGCTTCACCAGTGAGATCCAAGGAACCAAGTCCAGTTCTCCTTCAGTTTATGGCTCTGCAGAAAACTCTATTTTTATTTTTTTTTTGCTGTTGTTTGTTTGTTTTTAGTCTGCTTGTTTGTTTTGATGAATCTATTGCTTCTCTAGTATCTGTACCTCTTTTACTTATTAGACATTTACCTTGGATGTTAACTCTGCCCATAAAGAACAGTTCTCCATTTCTCACAGGAAGATCTGTTTCCCCTTTTCAGGTCTCAGTGTAGGAATACTTATGTCAAGAAGACTGTTCTGCCAGAGGAGATTTCCCATGATCTCTCTCTCTCTTTACCTCTCTCCCTCCATGTCTCTCTCATTTGCCATAAAGAATTTATAAAATGTTTCTCCTAAAAGGACTCAAATGCAAAAATCTTCACTTCCCTTTAATGCTTCTTACTAGTCAGTGAGCTCAGAGATATGTACTGCTCTGTGTCATTTACTTCAGTATGAGAGAACATGAATCCAAAATTATCATGAGATAATGGACACATTCACAGTGACACAATCAAAGCAGCGGTGCTTTTCTGTACAACCACCAACCATCATATGAGACCCAAAATTATCCTGATAAAATAATCAGAAATAGAATAGGATAGAATATCTTGACCTGGAATATCCCAGTTCAGGGGATATTCCCCAGATTCAACTTCTTTTTCTTGAACACCAACAAAAAGTGTCAGTTATTCATCAAGCTCCAGGATCAGTTTGTTCCTGAAAGAGGTGCCTTTCTCTTGATACTAATTTTTCTTGAGGTTCCCTATGAAACTGAAATGAAAATAATTATCCAGTAGGACTGAATGAGATTATTTTTGCTTCAGCACAGATGCACAGATTTGTTTCTGGTAAAAAAAATTATCATTGTATCTTAAACTATTCAAATAGGGTCCAATATTAAGAATATTTGAAGATTATTATTCAATAAGGTATACTCATCTCTCTTAACGTGGAAAGAGAGTAATCAATAACTGAAGAGAATAGCTTAAATATGATTATGTAGGAAGAGAAAAAGTTCAGTTTTCCTGGAAATGTCATATTGTTACACAACTGTAGCTGTTTTATCTGTAACAGGAATTTTCTCCCCAAAATTATCAATAAAAAACATTAAGATGTCACTAGTAGCTTTACCTGTTTAGAATGAGTCTGTGTCTTACTAGAAAAACACACACACAAGCAACACATTATGTTTACTGATGGTAGTCCTTACATTCCATCTACTTTGTCTTCACTCAGATTTTGTGTTAAAAGTATTCTTGTTTTATCGAGGGCAAAATTTAATATTAGGCAACAGCTAATCATATAGAAAGCTGTGCATATCTTACTTTCATATTGTTACAAAATACATTGAATTAGAATTATATCGACAAAAAACTTAATGTGGAATATCGTTAAATAGTGAAATAACATTTCCTCCATCAAAACCACATTTTAGGTAATCAAAGTTATACAGTGCAAAAAGTTGTGTAAATTTGCAAATAAAACATAAAAGCTCTTCCTCCAATATTTATAACACTTCTTATATGTACTACTATTGTTTCTCTAAAATTATGTTTAAATGAATGCCTGATGCAACCTGAACCTGCAATTTAGCTTCAAGTAAATCAGAATATTCGGTGTAAAGATTTAAGGTGCAGCTGTTTCTGCCATTCATTTAGGTAATCACTGTACATAAATTTATCCACCATGAAAAGCTTTTATTCATGTTCATATGGTGTGAAAATTGAAAGAAAAACTCTAAATTAATTACCTTTTTAAACAAAGCAATTTAGATTTATCACATGCAGCAAGGGAATTTGTTCACATATCATAAAGCTTCTGTGAAATACAGAAATGAAATATGAGCTAGGAAAAAGGGTTTACGCTCTGCAGAGACTTTAAGATGTGAAAAGCAAATTAACTATGCCTGACTTCAATCAACATGCTCTTATGAGTTTGGATAAAGTCTACCTGCAGCAGAAGCCTGGTGCCCTATGGACACTCCAGAGGAATGCAGAGCAATGCAAGCCTCAGTCTGGAACCACCTGAGACATTTCCATCCCCAGGTGCGACTTTTAGGATACAGACTTCAGCTGTTGAGGTAGCACATTATTATTTTCCCTTCACACCTTACTAATAAATGTCAGTTTAAAGCCATTAGAGTGCAATATGTCTTCCTGAATACAATAGGAAGAACTTACTCTCTTCTGCTCGGAAATGTCATTTTCTTCAACATGAAATAAGTTGGTGGTTATATAGAACAGCATCGCTGCTTTGATTTCTGTGAATGCTTCCATTATTTCTCATTATGAACCTCAAATTCCTTACTGCATATTCTTGATTATATCCAAGTATACTACCAGTGATTTATTGAGGTAGTGTTTGCCAGCATCCATCCACCTTTAATTTACACTAAGAAAAAGAAACAAAGTCTGATGAAATAATTTGCAGCCTGAAATTGATCTCATGAAAAGAAAATATAGTCAATATCTTTTGCCATTAGAAAACAATGCTATAGTTGCCCAAATACAGGGGTGCAAAGATATTTTTGTTTTGTTTGCTTTTATCTTTCAAACTTTAAAATGCAAAAATATTTGTTTCTCAGAGAATATAAAATGACTAGAGGATATTATTTAGGAAAGGAATATGTTTTAAGATCTAATTCTTTATCAGTGTTGTTTCAGCATGCTAACAAAATCAATGCTAAAAAAAATCACTTCCTTTTAATCTGTTATTCTTTTGTTCTGTTAAAGTAACTCAAGATCAATACGTATTGATTCACTCCCTAATTATATTAATTTTACTTTAGAAATTAGGGAGGCCATAATGAGAATGTGAAGTTACTTGAAGACAGTACATTATACATAGTCTAATTTAGCAGGAGTCTGTGCATGAGATTAATTCATTAAAGGCAGCCAATTATCATACAAACAGGGAAGATAAATAAGATTTCCTCCCTTAATTTGCATTTTATATATTCCTTTATAATTTTTCAAAGCATAAGTGAATTTACAGCCTAACTATACTTTTAATGTATATCCATTTTATTCCTGGGGCACATAATTGTATTTAATTTTAACCTCTAACTTTTTCTTCTAGGCATAGCATTTCAGAAAAGGAGATCATTGGATCTAGATATGAGACATTTTATGTGACATTTTAATTATGAAAAATAATGAAATGTTAATAGTTTTAACATTCCAGATATGCTTTGCACTAAACTTTTCTCCTCTTACAGATAGTAAAATGTTCAGTTGATAGATAAGGACATGACATATCTTGGCTGAGGATCTGGCTCACAAATACAACTGGGACACAAGTAGGTATCTATAATCAAAAACATTTTTTTTCAGTTGGATAGCTACATATTTTATCAATGCAAATGAATGTCTGCAGTGATTTCTTTGAAGGACTTTTATGTTGTTTGATGAGGTTAAAATTGACTTTATTACTTTTTATTTTATTTTATTTTTCCCCAGGATGATTACCTTCTGGACATTTTTGTACTTTATCCCTGCGTAATTTGGAGAATTTGAAATCTACATGAGATACTTGATTCCTTGTTGTCTTACAGCAGTAGACTGGGAATATTTCCACTGAAATATCACAGAAGTAACTACTCATGTAATTTATTGTCTGTAAAGGGAGTGTCAGAGACAAATTATCTTTAAAAGAAACTTACTGTGATATTAGGCAATGTGTAATTCTCTTTAAAACAACAAAAAATCCTTTAGCTAACTGAAGATTACCATTTGAAAAAGACAATGAATACTGTCATTCATTTTTTAAAGAAGTTGGAAAGCTAACAAACAAAAAAGAAAACAAAACATTTTGAAGCTAGAAAAATAACCGAAGAGGTATACTACTTGACATCCATAAATTATTAAGTAATAGTACTGATAATGGTTCTTGCCATAAATAATATACTCATACAAAAAGTTCGGTCCCGTCAATTTCCTTCCCAACATCCCTCCCCAACTTTTTTATGTTGACCTATGATAAAACTATGTTTGATAGTACTTCTCTTCAGGAGCTTTCAAGTTGTAACTACGGTTATGTACTGTGGACCTCGTGGTGGTACACATGTATGGGTTTGTGAACAAACCCATACAAAATGCAGGTCTTGGGCCAGGGGAAAATGTTTCTTAAGCAGGAAACTGGAGCTGGCGACCAGTTTCAAATATATGTATTCACAATAACTCATACTGAAACTGATATTCAGTATCAAATCCTGGCCCTCTGATGCCAAAACTCAGTGTAAAATATTTTGCTAAAATAAAAGACATTTGGTTTTCAAGTAAACATATATGCTTCTTCACCTCAAGCTAAGATGTCTTTTGGTATGGATTCTAGTCATGGTTTTTGTCAACAAGGAAGATATTAGCTGCCATCAATATATTTGACTGATGCCAGTGGACCATACTGAGGACCTGGACTAGATTTACTAGCTTGCTTGTAAACACAGACACTGGTGCTGAGAGTAACAGAAACAGCTGAAGAGATTAGGCTACCAGTTTTGGTGAAGCAGTTCTTTACTGCAACTTCTCTGTATGCTGCAAGCTCCAGGAAGCAACAAAGAGGAGTTAAAAGCAGTTTTAACAACATCTGGTGCCTTCTTAAATCCAAGCTGCCTTTCTCTGCCAGCAATAATTATCTGCTTCATGGAAAAACATGACCAATATGAAGAATTGTTATTCATATTGCAAGCAGATTGCTAGACAGATAACACATCATGATAATGATGATGACGATAATGATATATAAATGTTATACACACTGCATTCCTATTACATTCCTGCTTTGAATATAGCCCTGCAGAGCATAAAGGAAGCTCCGTATAGAAGTGTTCTGTAAAAACAGGGGATGAGATTTTCAAAAGTGATCAACATCTATTTGTCATAGGATTTTCTACTGTTGCCCATGACTGTAACCACTGAACACATGCTGCAGCAATGGAATGCTTCCACTGTATCTGGGTGCAATTTGAGAACAATGGGAACTGTCATCCCATTAAGCTTTTATTTAATTCCCCCCCACACCCCATCCCACTAACAGTCTGAGGGTATATCTTAGCTCAATAGGCTGCAGTAACATGAGGGTTACTGTTAAATGGGAAGCAGGGTAAATTAGCTTGTGCAAACCTTTGAGTTGTGGTGCTCATTCTACCAACAGCACATAGGATACATAAAACAGAGCTGACTCAGCTGTATCTGTGGTCTCTAAGTCTTCACTGCAGCATTATTTTATGCTCTTTGTCAGGGTTTGACCTTACCATAGCCATTTCACACAGAACTCTTCTACTCCTATGAGCCTATTCCTACACTACTCACAGTGCACATGCCAGGAGCAGTATACTGTAGCAGTAGTACTGTAAAGTATACCTTTAATCTATTCACCCAAATTTGTGGTGAGAACACATTCTTTCAAACACTGTTAGATCTATGTATGGTCCCTTCCAACTAGTTCTGCCCTTACAAACCAAGAAGGAGTGACAAGACCTCACACTGTTCAGAAGGAAAGAGTCAGGCCCTGCTAAGATCCCTCAGATTTGCTCCCAGAAGTAGCTTCTCCTAAAAGTGAATACAGTTCCACTAGTGTAACTATGACTCATTCACACTAAGATAACTTGAAAGAAAATTATAACTATGTAGTGTACCGAGGAAAACAGGTGTAGAAAAATTACTACTCTGGTTTTGTACCTTCTGTATCTACTAGTTATCTTCTGATAAGTAAACTAATTTAGGTTAGACGGGACCTCCAGAGGTCATCCAGTCCAACCACTAAAGGTACTTTGTTATTTTTCTGTAATGTAGATCTGAAAAACGAAAAAGCAGGAAAGAAGTGGATCAGTTCGGATGACAGTGCTGAGCAATCTCCACGTTTCTTTCTCTGCCATCTCATGATTGGGAAACTGTTTAAAAAGAAAAGGCAAATACTGTCTTACTATTCCATGCTTTTTTTTTTTTCCCCAGGCAAAACTGAGCTATTTTCCAGTAAGCCAAACTTTGTGAGGATGTGTCAATCATTTCTAATTTACAATGTCTAGTTAGTAACTTGAAGTTGATAAATCAAAATTAGCTGACAGTATTCACTAGCCACTTCAAACAAGCTTAGATATTTTTAAAAGGATACTTGACTTATATATAGGCATAATATAACTGGAAATGAGTTAAACACTGGATTGCTGTCAGCTTCAGAAGTCTAGAATAGGTAGAATTGTATTACGCATTTAATAAAGCAAGCAAAAGTTCAGTTCCCAAATGAAACTTTTAAGAATTTCACCACAGGCACCTGAACATAGAAACACAATATATCTTTTGTAATTAGAGTTTTACTGCCGCAAGAATATTATGTATATAGCTACAACATTCTAAACAATACAGGCACTTCATCTTTCAAACTACACCCCAGTCCTGAAAGAAGCTAGTCACACAATCTGCATTGAAAGCAGCTACAGATTTGGAGTTTCAAGAGTGACTATTCCTCCCAAGCATCAACCTTTACCTTCTACCTACAAATTCTCTTATAGTACCCATAAGCATGTTTTCTAGCCCTATATTTACAAGGGAAGGTGTGAAAGTTAAGTTTGATATATTTGTCAATATTATACCTTCTCAAAAACCACATTGTGGTTTTGGCAATAACCAACACAAAAGTAATATATACAGCAATGTTTGGAAGAACTACCTACAGCTGAGTGTGAACAAGCCAAGTAAACAATGGCACAGTATAGACACAGCTGAAAGCATTTAATTAGTTTGTGACAATCAGAGCAGTCATGTGAGCAGCCTCTGCTATTTTCCTTTTCCAGCAGAACTAGATCTTGCTCAAGCAAACACACTGTCAAAATACATAAACCCTTTTGCTTAAGACAAGCATTTAGGAATGCTCTGTATTCCCTAGTCAAGATTTTTAATGACAGAACACCATAACTCTGGAACTTCAGAAATCTATGGGTGGTTTGCTCACTGAATGAGGCACATTTTCAGTACCCAGTACAGCTGGTTTTATTTGCTGATTTGGTCACTTATGTCATGCTAATGTATCAGAGAGATCTTTTCACAGTATGAAGCCCAAAGCCATCTGGGGTTTCAATTTATAGTTGGCAGTATAACATATATGCTTGGGTTTGTGAGGTTCAGTCTTCAGACTGTTTTAAGACTACTGTTGAGAGCTACCCATTAGGGAGTTGGGTTTGGAGGCATAGCTTAAAAGCTGTCATTTCCATAGGTACTAACGGTTTATAAGCTATCTGTCTTGTAATTTCATGCATGAAACCAAACAGCTACCTTTCTAAAATAGGTTTGCCAGAAGTAGACCACTTCTGGTCTACTTGTGTACCATCTTGGAGACCTCTTGAACTCTTAAGCAAGGACCTGATTCTGTACTGAACAAATTGGCAGACAATCTCCACACTCATTCAGCATAAAAAAATTCTGAAACAGAGGTTTCTGAAATAAAAATCGGGCTTTCACAGTCTCAGGACAGTTAGAAAGGCTGCTTTTCTTTTTTAATGTGCAGGTCTTGTGTACGTTTCTTAAATGCAGACCTACTGAGGGAAATCGTGTTCTTTCACAAATTAGGTAAAACAGCCTTATGTGACATGTAGCTTCAAAGCCACCGAGGCTGAGTGGCTCTTCTCCTGCATGACTCCTTCCATCAATAAGCTGTCATGCAAAAGACAGGCACTAACTTCTTTTCACCAGCTTTCCAAGAAAACAGTATAAAAGTTGCACACCAGGTGGTGATACTATTGTTTCTGTCCGGGGCATACTCTGGGATTCTGGCAAGCCTTCATGTTTTATGTGCATATAAAATCTCAACTTCAAGCAGGTGAGAGGGCTTCCTGAACCTGTGCCTAACATACATCAACTGTATGATCATGGATATCTGTGCCTGAGTGAAGAACAAGTCACTAAAAAAGGGAGTATTTAGGGATGTATGTCTTCCTCCAACACACGACTTCATGAGTGCTCCTAAAAGATCCTACCACAAAAATAAAACCAAAGTAGCACAAATCTCTGCTGAGGGCTGTTTGAAATAACCAAAATAACCTGCTTGGCTTTCCTGTTGCACATGCTGGAAGAGTTCCTCAGTCAGCTACAGCTGACAGGCAATTAGGAAATTGTTCCTTACCATTTCACAAGCTGTCAGTTAATGGCTCCCAGCTGAAGCACAGACACTGAGTATGCAAGTGCTAATGCTGCTTCACTAGAAACCACTGAAGGAGCAAAGCTGAAGACAAGAATTCACTCAGAAACAGGCAGGAAAGTTACTGTTAAGAAACAGTGGCACCCAGCTCTGATACCTAAGATATCTTAGAGGATTTGTGTCCACCTCCAACAGTTGTTTGCAGGGGACGGGCTGGTGGAGAAGCATTAATGCAGTGAGTTCAGCTGGAAGCCATTAACTGAGAGGCAGTAAGGTGCAGTTTCCTAAACTGCTTCCCAGCAATACCTCTGTGAGCATTTACTTTTCAAGACAGAGTCAAGCTGATAACATAAGACTAAAAGTTAAATTGAACTTGCCGCATGCCAAAATCAAATGAGCAGGTTGGAAGTACTCATATGCTTGGGAATAAGCAAGAAGTAGTTTATGGAGCTGTTTTCTATCATCTCTCAGCTGCTTGATCCTGGCTTCCAGCTAAGACCTGGTAACTGACTGTGAGGATACATGCAGTCCCTTTGAAAGCAAAATCAAACAGGTGAAGAGAGAGCAACCCATTATGTGTGTCTCAAAAACACCACATAGGTCCCCACATTTGCACTTCACAGAAAAAATTGTTGAGCCCTATTTCAGAGCTTGAGTACATGCATGTTTCCTCCAGACCCTCCTCTATACTCCAGTCCTGAAACATTTTCTGTTTGGGTGATGAAGACGGTGAACAAAAAGAATATCATTTGGATACTGATGTGGTTATTTAGACAATGCAGACTGCCAATAGTCCTTCAAAAATTATTTGAGGGATTCTTGGTGTGCGTGGTTTATTTCTGAGCATGCAAATTGTTTTGATACCTTTCAGCTCTAGCTTTTCTCCTTTGGTGTTTAAGGATGGAAAGCATTCACTGCAGGTTTGCCAAACCCACTCCTAAAAACAGACTGTAGTAGTGACACTGAGTGACTTTCAGAGGTGGACAGAAATCACTCAGTTGACTTCTGAAAGCATAAAATAGACATTTATTTTGTCTGAAGGATACATGTCAAATTTGACATTGCCTTATAGAGAATTTATTTTTTTTCCCCTTTAAGACGACCAATAAATGAATACTCAGTTTCAGACCTGCAACATATTTCTGAATGTAAGTAGGAAATATCAAAGCCTTTTTGGTTTCTATATCAGTCTTCTCAACAGATACATATCGGACAGTTTTAATATGCTTTGCTCCAGTTTCAATTCAAGAATATTTAAAAAAATGTCTTTCCTATTTGCTTGATTGGAATTATTATTTCAGTGATGTTCAGTTTTACTACATGAATATATACAATACTTTGTTTAAATGTTCCCAAATAATATGATGAAAAGCTCATACTTATTTTAGTGAAGATTTTAGGATAGTCCATCAGTAATAGAACATTTCAGTTCCAGCACAGCTGTACTTTCAAACTAACTTTAATATAATGAATTCTTACTTCTTGCTTTTATGGTAACAACTGCATGCTCAGAACTTTGCAAATAGATTTAAAGTTTTTATATTAGTGCTTAATTAATTGGTTTACCCAGTCAACTACAGGGTTTTCAGTGCCTATTCCTGTATTCTGCAATAACTATGTCAATATGAATACAAGATTTATGTTCTTCACTACCAAATTAAGGCTT